AGAGCATTATGTTATTTGATTTCTTAAATATCTTTGAGTGCATGCTGAACGATTGAGATACGTTTATAAATGTTTGTTGACGGGTGGAAACTTTTGGGAAATGTTCAATTTATTGGGGAGACTCTGCCGAATTTTCGGTAGAAGTCTAGCTGCTAGAAAACTGGGTTTTTAGTTAAAGGGACAGTTTGGTCATTTGTGCCCGGCATTCGCCAAATGTCGGACACGCACAGGGTTCGGCTTAGATTCCAAAGTGGAATTTGGGTCAGGTCCTTTCATAAATAGTGTTCAAGGTGAAGAGATTGAGAGAGAGAGAGAGAGAGAGAGAGAGAGAGAGAGAGAGAGAGAGAGGTTGATGCACAACAAGAAGATGGTCATGTATGTAACACAAGAAATTGAGGCATTGAGAAATCATATAGCCTAAAGTTTAATGAGTTCATCTACTTAGAAAAGTATATGATTGCTTGTTTATGACAAGCTTCATTTTTGTTATAACCATATTATTGACAATATATTTATTTTTAATGGAATAATTTATTTATTTTGTAATTAAAATAAATTTTAGAGTGTGACGGAAACATATTTAATATCAAAAAAAAAAAAAGATAATGTGAAAATGCTTTTCCTTTTACCAAACACTTGAACAGAAAAGTCATTTCAACATATGCTATTTTTAGTCATTACACAACTCACAACACTTTCACCCAAAAAAAAAAAAAATCAAATACTCAAAAACTGATTATTGTATAAACATCACTATAACAAAATGTTTACCAAATGCTAAATTGCTTTCTCTCACAACAAATTTGACAGCAATTATTTTCACAATACAGCAATGCCAAACTGAGCCTAAACCACCTCCTTAGATAAAATTTAAGGATGAAATGAGAAAATTTACCTTCAACCATGCTCCCCATCCAACTCCTAAAATGGAAATATGTTTGCTTACCACTTTAACTCAAGGTGTATGCTCACCACCCTTCTTAATACTTGACACGTGTCTACATGCATAACCATAGTTAACTTTTTACTTTGATTTATGTAACAACAATTATTTTTGTGAACACGTGTCAAGTGTTGAAAAGGATAGTGAGCATACTCCTTGGGTTAAAGTGGTAAGCAAAAATGCTCCCCTCCTAAAATAGGGAGACATCTAGAAGCCTCTAAATATGAGGAGAGAGAAATGAATATGTTGCTTTACTTTAATCCTATTTTAAGTATTTATTTAATACTAAGTATTTATTATTATTATTATTATATGAAGAGGGACTATTTATGCTAAACTAAAAATAATAATAAATCATTTATGATTCCTTAAACTAGTGAGTATGGTTGGAATTGAAATTTTATAAGGAGCTCCTAAAATAGCTTTCTAGTATTTTAATATAAATTTTAACTAAAAATTAAGGAGCATGATTGTGGATGCTCTTAGCTATCAATAATCCCACTGAAACCTAGAGAGGACTTCTTCATTTCCTTTTTTGGGATTTTACACCTTTTTATGTCTTAGGTTTCTCCATTTTTAGCGAACTGACTAATCATCTCATATGGTAATTCATATGCTTTCTAAGCATTGTATTTCTATCTAATCTTGGATTATTGGTGCAAGTGGCGCCACCGCACAGGGCCCCCAATTTTTGAGGGCCCCAAAAAAAAATTTATTTATATTATATATTAATATTATAGGAATTGTATATATAGTGTAGCGTGCTAAATATTTGCATAAGAGCGTGTCTGGTGGAGTTGGCTCCAGCGCATATTCACTTAACAGAAGCGCCAGAGTTCGATTCTCATTAAAGTCAATCTATTTGCCTTAAGAAAAATTGAGGAATTGACATTTAACTTTATCAAATGGAAACATTTAAATTTTAATGAGTTTGATTTCTAATTGTCATTACATATTTATTGATGGTGACATTTAGTTATAAAAAAATTGTTTATGACATTAAGTTATGGCAAATTTTTATTTATAGTATTTTCGTATTAGATTATGTGAGGCTTCAATTTAAGTTTTGCACAGGGCACTCAAAATCTCATAGACGGCCCTAATTTTAGTCCATGGGGAAGTCGAGTTGGATTTCATCAAATGCATTTAACCCATGCTCTGTCCATCGACCATAATGATTTTCAAAATAAGAGTTATCATAGGTCACATGAATCTTCATCTTCCAATCTAACCATCCTATCATCTGTTTCAACATTCTTAATGTTTTGTGAGATTCGTTAGGCGGAGGACGCGATTGAAAGTTGAACTCTTGCATGAATAAGAGGCTAAAGTGCTCTATCATTGAGGCTATTAGAGCACTTCCACCAGTTAGCCCCTTGCCATGGCAAGGGGAGCCCTAGGGCGGGTACTATTCACGTAAAAAAAAATATTAGCAACGCAACAAGTATTAAAAAAATTAATGGAAACTCAAGAAACTTTAACCATTTATTAGAAATGCAAAACAAAATATAAATATTGCAAGAAACATTCATATTAATATTGGAAATACAAGAAATA